AAGAGTGAGGCAGCAGCCTTTCCAAAAGCCAAGCTGGCTTCAAACAAGGTGTGACTTCTGCTTCGAGCCCTGGCTTCAAGGAAAGGGTTGCAGATGGGCAGATGCAACACGGAGGCGCCTGGAGCTGCAGCGGGACCTCCCGGACCGCCGTGTCCTGCCAGCACTCTCCTATTTTTTGGCTAGACCAAGCCTTGGCGATGAAAGCCAACGTTCCTCCAGCTCCAGCAAAGGTGACCCCTGCAATGCCTGTGTGGTTTGCAAACCCAGTCGTCCAGAGAGCAAACTTTAATAAACCCGCGCAACGAGGACTTATCAACACCCTTGGCATCGGTTCAAGCCCTGGGCTGCATGCTCTGTTGATGAAAAGTATATATTTATATATATAGGATGTGCCCCAACAACTGTGCCTGCAATCAATTTAATTAATTTACCGCAGGTCTGCAGATGACCCAGACAGCATTTGGAATTAAATGACATTTCTAGTGGCTAGACGCATCTCCAAAAGGCTCTGCCGTATATAGCTGCGGCTTTTAAGAGTCGTAAGTTGAAGACTTGAAGTCGTGATAAATGAAAGCCTCGTTTGTTGCTTTTAATAAGCTGCTCTAATGGGCTGTTCTTCAGAGGCTTGCAATTAGAGACTGAAATACATGAGGATGCCTGGGAAGATGTTTGTAATCCTTCACGCAGCCTTGAGCGATGGCAATGATCGCTTCCTGCATCTCCAGGTCAGGAGGCCAGGACTACACCCAGCACCTCCCGAGTCGATGTGTGTGCTTCAAACATCAGAGAAGCAGCATCACACACTGCGACCTGCTAGGCACATATCCCTACTCTGCCCAAAACTATATTCATGTTTAAGGAGTCACCTCCTCCTCCTATTTCTACCATCCAAAGCGAGGTGAGACATTCAGAAGCGCAGAGGGACGACAGTCTGATTTTATTTCGTCATCCTCTACCCACTCCACAGCCAAGAGAAGACACTGTAAAGCCTACCCCACTTTAAAACACTATATATGAACACTACATATGGGGCTTTCACCAGACATCAGCCAGGCTCCATTTCCAGCTTGCAGGGCAGCCCAGTTCCCATGTCAAAGTGGAAATGAGACCTGCACAATGCCATCAAATGCATAACCTGAACGAGGAACTTTCACCACCACCGCCGCAGACAAAGCTTACGCTGGCTGCTCATCTGTTCGTGACGTCCTCCTGCGCCCTTCCCTTGGCTGCTGCTGGAATAACACAGAAATGCTGCTTTCAAGGGCGATGCCTCATGGACTTGGAGCTTAATTACAGCCTTGGCCAAATCTCACCTCCTGTCTTGGCCAAAGTCATCTGAAGGCGGATTAACCTGCGTCTCTAAACCCTCCTCAAAACCAAGGCAGCTCAGGCTGGCTTGCAGAGCCCGGTGTGTTTGCATAGAAGTGTTAAGCCCAAAAGTGTGTAGAATAAATAAGAAAATGTGTTAGAGGAGCCAAATTTGCCAAGCTGATCTAGGCAGGATGCTGGAGATGGGGACTGCGGGCAGCAGATTTCCACACCAGCCCTGGGAAGGCATCATGGCATCGCCCTGTGCAGAAGGGGAGGCAATGGAGAGCTCTTTTTTGGAGAGGGATCCTGTAAACCAGTGCCACTAATGGTCCTTTCCAGGAAAAGGTACCACCAAAGAGGCTGTTAACACAACGGGGGGTAAAAACCTTGACCCCAACAGAGGCAGGACCAGACTCTGCCTGCGCTTGGTGGATGGGAATGTTGACTTGGCAGAGCAATAGCTTCCCCGACAAAATCTTTCCTCTTGTCAGGTGAATTACAGGGGATATTTGGCAGTAAGCAGCATCATAAAGTGGCTATAAATCACGGGAGACAATGTCCTGTAGGAAGAAGGAAGAGCAGGCAGGAATGTAGAGATAAAAATCCTTTAAAAAGTCACAACTAACAAAAAATTGTGACTCATGCTGGAAAAATTCTCCCCGTGAAAAATGTTATCTACAAACCGTCCCCTGTTTCCTAAGGAAATATTTAAAAAGCAAACTATTTTAAGCCCTATTGGAAAATAGGACGGAGAAGGGCTGTGGAAAAATTCATCCACGTTGACCTTCCCCATCAAGGAAGGTCGCAAGCACTGGCTCAGGACCTAGGATACGCTCCACCATCTCCTCACCCTCTCTGCTCCCTGAAAGTCACTTTTTAACAAGATGCACATATTTGTGTCCAGAAAGTAGCCCTCTGTCACCATGGGGGCTGATATTTAAAAGTCTAAATCAGCTAAGGTCAAGGATGGATACTCTGGTGCAGGAGCCTCTAATCGCCAATGCCCAGGTGGCAAGATTTGTCTTTGCTTTGTCTTTGGCAGGCCAGCTCCTCGCCAGAAGAGACTTCCTATACACGGCACAGGGTGAGGGGCAGGTTTTTGTTGCTTCAAATCGTTATTTTTTTCTTCCCCTTAAGCTTTGTAAAAAGCTCCCTCCAGTTCTTTACATCACTTGAGAAAGAAAGGTCATCCCTAATGGGGAGCTGGTTCTATATGCAGATGCACAGTACCCTTCCTTAGTTATTTTTTTGAGTGGCTTTTGCAACCGTGCTCAGCACTGACCTAATAGCATGCCTGTTTTACCCTGTAAAAACCCATTCGTTTATTTAGGGCTACAAAGCTCAAATGCTTGGGGGAGTGGAGGGACCACAAGTCTCTTAACACTCACCCTAAGACCCCAGTAATTTTGCAAACAGGGCTTGGTTCAAAGGCCAGCTCTGGAGCAGGGGGTCTCCTTCCCAGGATGATGGAAACCCAGCCTCCTACCTCGGTTCGTAGGAAGAATCTTTGCCATCTTTACAGACTGTAAAACAAAAGTCTGCAGCGATTTTAGATTAATACAATACCTCCATTAGGAACAGCGATGCCAAGCGACATCCAATTCCAGCACCGCTAGGGAAGTAAAATTCATAGCCCTGCTCTATCTGTAAAATGCATCGCGCTTTTGCGAAAAACACATAACCCTTGCAAAACAAAGATAACAACAACTCCGTGCTCCTTAATTCAATGCTGGTAGCTGGTTTAATAATACATTTTCAGTCCACTTCTCTTTTTTTTTTTTGGCCGGGACAACTACGGTCTGATTTAGTGAATCTCTGTGATTTGTAATCCTGAGCCTTATATAATTAATATGCCCTTGATGCGAAGAGGGGGATAAGTTAAAAAAGAGCGATCAGCTATTCTGCGCAGTGGCATTTCTGCCCTTGGTCAGAGGACGCGTTATTTACAGGAAGCATTTTCTTGAGCATCTGCAAGCAAATCAGCTCTGAAAAGTGGCTTAATTGTTCAGGGCAAAGCATATTGAGTTTCAAAGTCCCAGGAACCTCCATCTTCAGGCCCCGAGCGCGTTTCCACAGATGGACGCTGGCGTGTGGAAATGCCACCGCGGCTCCCGTTCGGCTGACCTTTGGTTTCGGGCCAGCTGCCAACGGGAAATGCCAAGCTGTTATTTGCATTCCTTCAAAAGAAGTGGGGAATGGCACGGGTAACTTGAAAACCAAAATTAAAAAAAGGGAGAAAGAGGTGGGGAAAACTTCTGCCTTGGGGGACCTGGCGGAAAATAAAGCTTGGAGAGCCCATAAGGTCTTAACTGCTGGGAAATGACTTTCTGAGCTGCCAAAAGCGGAAGGAACCTCCCCTCCTCGCTGCTCTCAAGTCCCTGCTCTCCTTTTCCAGTTTCCCCAGTGCTCGCAGTGCCCTGTCTCCAAACACATCACTTCAGCCCAGCAGATGCCATCCACCATCCTAGCGAGGAAGATCCCAATCCGGAGGTACCCAGGGACCACATCCTCAATGCTGCAGACCAAGAGGGTTTTTTCTCCTTAGCTTTGCTGCTGGGCAGCTCCTGCTCTCCTACGTGAGCAGAAAAGACAAAGCCTGGGCTTTGCACAGCTTGCTTGGCGTGGAAAGCGGTGGCGATTCCAGCTGGAGCAACTCCTGGAGTGCAAAATGTCTGTTTTTCTACAAGCAAGTATGGGAAAGAATTAGGAAAGAAAAACTTCACTCACTGGAACAACATAACCACTCCAAAGAGACAGGGAAGTGTCTTCCAGAAACAGGTTAACAGCTTCAGAAAGGGATTATCTCAGGACTTGGAATGCATTTATCGTCCCCGCAGTGTCACAGCGTGAGAGTCACTCCATGAATTGTCTCAAAATCATCTCCAAAGCAAAGCAGCGTGACTGACACATTTCAGTGGCATTTCTGCCTCTTTCAAACAGGAGCAATTTTTTAGTTTTGCTTTGTTTAATTTCAAATTGGCTGTCAGCTTTCCAGGGTTTATTTTGCTTTCTCACAAGCCACTCAACAGGCTTTAAAATTCATGGGTGGCCAAGAAGCTCTACGGTTTTGAACCTAAGGCTCTAATGATGGACCAAACCTTGGCACTGGAGGCTTCTCCACCACCTCCAGTGGAAGGACTGGGCTCTTCCCAGTCTAGGGGAAGGGTTGGAAAGATGAAAATGGATCAAGAGCTCAGCTCCCTCTGCCTGCCCCTTCCCATATGTCCAGTGTGGCACCACGGAGAAGCTCCTAGGAGCCTGCAGCTCTCCACTGGTGTCCATGGAGAGAGGTGGGAGTAAGGCAGGAGGATTAAGGCAGCAGAAGAGGGAGCGATAAAACTCCAGCCAAAGGAGACAAGGGCTTTTATAAATACGCCAAGAGATAAAGAGCCAAGGAGAAGCACACCCTGGAAAGCCCATCAGGGCAAAGGACAGGGAGACCTAACTAATGAGAATCATTGACAAATGGCTCAGGCTCTGCCTGCTCAGACTAGAGAGGAAAACAGCAAAAAGGCAACCTGCAAGGGCACGTCCTCCACAAAGGGGCCATTGCAGGAGAAGCAAGAGCTGCTGGCACACGACTGTCATCCCTTATGGCCTCAGGGGGACAGACATCGCTCTGCCTGACATTTACTCCCCAGCCTCCCCCGTGGTGCCAGGCTATGGCTGTAGTTTTCCTATGGCCACCTCCTCTTTGCATCGGGACAAGCACCCACCCAGGCTGAGGGAGGCCAAGGCCCACATCCCCTTCCCTCTGCTCGAAGAGGGATTTGACTCAAAAACATCAGCATTCAAGGAGAGACTTGAACTCCTGCCTACGGCGTTCAGAGCCAAGTCTTTTTGGCTACAGCTTTCCTATGGCCACTGGTGAGGATGGCACCACTCACCACTGCACGCTTCTTGCGCAGACAGGAGCATTTACTTTCCCATTTTTAAGCCCAAAGCAGACGACAGGAGCTCAGACGGCTGCGCTGGAAGAGACTGTCAGTCTCTGACCTTGAGCAGCAATGAGCCTGGCAGCACACTCACCTGCTAAGATGGGAAGTGACTGTGTCCTCCTACGGATGCCTTATGCCTGGGGACAGAGTTGCTCAGCCTGTGCTGAGCAGGATTTCACCACGCTGCACTCGCAGACTGACACCCAGCTTCCTCTGAGAGCATCCTGTAACTACTCTAAAGACGATATCCTGTAATTTACCGTGACCTTGCTAGACTCGAGCTTAAGGCAGCATGAAAGCAATGTGATGGGTACCTTAGAAGCATCTGTGTCTACTTTGCACTGAAAACAAATTCAGGGTTATCAATAGATGCACCCCACGTTGCTTCGCATGAAGGATGCTGCGTCGTTTGACTACTGCCATTAAAAAACCTCATACTAATACACGCCTAAGTATGAACAAAGTGCCATGTGTGCTGGCTGCTACACAAATCTAGTGCCGCGGTACAAACTGATCCTGATACAAGCCAGATTTCCCCCCAGTACCGCAATCCCTTGTTCACCACCAATTTCCATCAGCTTCCATTAGAGTTGTCAAAGATGGTCCAGCCCAGGCTTTCATCACTTGCCTATGTTTAAGCACATGAGAAGTCAATGGGATCGCGCGATGGTTTGAAGCCGGGTGTTTCCCTCCGCGGGAGGAGCTCTCTGTATAATTTACTGTCTCACAGGAACACATTAGTGTCCTACGTGTGAAAAATTAAATCCAGCCCTGACCAAAACTTGGGGCGTTTGGCCATTTGGCTGCGTTTCTTCTGTTTCCCTTTGCGAGTGCTTTCCTGAAGTCAAATTTTCTCTGTGAGCAAAGGCCATTGCGAGCTCTAAGTGCAAACATATGGGCTTCGGGATATTTTACCTGTAATAACATGTTCTGCTTATTTTTAAAAGGAATGTGAAAACACTCCTGTGAGAATTAAGTCTAATAATCAGGGCCAGTCTATACAGAGATGAAAATCATTAGGAAGTGAACTACATCTGCGAGCAAGCATTTGCCATTCCTGCCTGTCCAAACAGATCAATCAGCCCACCCTGGCGCTGTTTTACAGCGCTGCCGCTCAAACGTGCCGCTCTCGCCTAAATCACGCTTATCAGCTGGTCAGATAAAAGTTATTACACCGAAGTTGGGGAAGTATAAATGCACAGCTTCTTCTCTTACCTTCCGCTGAGAAGGAAACCGATAACCACAGCCAGCAGAATGACTCCCACTGTTACAGACACAACAATTATAGGAATCTGGCTCTGGTCACTGGATGCAGCTACTGCTGAGATGAGAAACAGAAAATGGAGATTAAGGTTAAAATGATAGTCAGGACTCATACGAGGCTTTCTTGAGAGTCTGCCAGTGAGGTTTCTTACCCGTTCATTTCTTCTTTCATGGTTTGTGTTTTCCCCCTTTGCTGTCTGTTTCTAATTTGGAAAGGGAATGGGTGGGAAGGAACCAACACACATGCAAAACCAAGTCAAAAACCCAAGAAAAATCGTATCTCATGGCTGAATTCAGAAACCAAAGTGTTGCAGAACGCAGCTTTTGAGTTTGCAAACTGGAGTTTGTCTTCCCGGGTCAGTGGGAGACGGGTCCTGCGATAAGGACACAGGCAGGAAGGCTGGGAAAGCTGCTCGAGAGCTGGGTTTTGCCACAGGTTAAGTAAGAGCCTGTAAAATGGAAATGCCACCACCACTTGTATGGAGTTTATCTGCTTGACGCAGCAGGGAAGGGGCTCATCTCTCCTCAGGGGTTCACACGTGGGGTTCCTCAAGCAGCAACTGAAGTTTCGTCACCCTGCTCTCTCTGCTGCCAGCTTATTTAAGCTGCAGATACTTACCCACCCTGGGGTACACATCTCCCCTCAGAAACCAGCTCCCCATTGCAGGCGATGTTGCCATATGGAAAAAAGCTCATTACAGCTCCTGCCAGCCCGGGGTGAAGCTCCATCCACCCCGGGGAGCAGCGGGGATCGATCGCGCACTGAAGAAGCCTTTAACTAAATGACTAAAGTAAAAAGTGGGTCCTTAGCACAGGATTAACTTTATAGAGGCTATAAAATAACTGAATATAGCCCCATATTAATTGTTAAAAGAAAAGAAAGAAGAAAAGGTCTGGCATTAAACATTGATCCGCAGTGGGTTTCAAGCAGCCCTTGGTGCTCGATGGTGAGCGGTGTGGACCTGCCACAGCACAGGCAATGATTGCAGAAGGATTGGCCCCGATAACATTAAATATTTAATGTTAACTGCTCCAAACCCGTGCCATCATCCAGAGATTTTATTAGCCTCACGGATTTATGGAGGCTCCTTAAGATGATGGTTTATTGCTTTCTTGACAAAATAATTAAAAAGGAAAACACTTAAAGGAGAAGATTAAGCTGCGACTCTGGTGGGTTTTTACACAGCTCGAGGGATGGGGAAATGAGACAGATCCTGCTGCAATCTCCAGCAGCCAAAAAGCCAGGATTTATCAACTGAGCTGGGACCTTGCTGCCATATAAAACTGGGGGGGACCTATATTACCCCAAATCGACTTGGTGACACTTTCCCGTTCCCTGATCCAGCAGAAAAGCAGCTTTTGGCAAGGCTGGTTTTGTCAGGGCTGGATGAGCTCGGCGGCATTCGTAAGGGAAGGAAGCAGCATGTGGTTACAGCCAGCAACAGCTTTATTCCACCCAAAGAAAAAACTCCCACTGAAAAATGTAGCCCTGGCTGCATCGCAGTGCACATGCAGGCAGCAGTATGGAAAAAAACCCCAACATTTGGAAAAAGAGGAAAGTCCACAACAAGTTGCACTTCTCCCACCATTTTTCAGGTACAATCCTTAGATCACGCAGCTGTTAGCAACTCAAATTCCCTCCAAGCGTATTATAAATTTACAAAAAACCTCTGCAAACTGGAAAGAAAACCTGTTGTTTGGTCCAAACGATTTTGGAGGCTGCGCTCGATCCTCGAAACAGCCACCGAAAGGTTTTCATTTGCACTCGAATCCAAATAATTTGGTTTGGCTCTAACGAGAGGTTCTGATCTGAGCCCTGATGTAGCGATGAGATTTCGATCTGTGCTTGCTTTGAGACTCTCCGGGATGTACAGGAAAGCAGTGAGAGCCTGGTCACACTCGCAGCACTAATATTGACTTTATATAGGGCCTTGGGGAAAAAAAAATGACTTTTTTAAAGGTTTTATATGTCAAACGGACATATATTTTATGCACATATTGCATTTATGTAAGATACTGTGGCTTATGTTGCATTTCCATTCTGCCAGGCGTTTAAATATTGGGTTAAGTCCTGCTTCGGCCAGAGCTCAAGCCCAGCAGAGGAACAGCTCCTGAACTGGACGACGCAGTAGGTATCCCTCCAAAAAATACCTACTCTGCCTTTAAAACACTGAAAAGCCTGGTTTGTCTGGTGTGACTCAAGGGTTGTAAAGCTTTTTAAGACATTATCACATGATGTCCTCAAAAACCCCCTATTAGCACAGATACTTACAGGGGCTTTATGGAACTGCCATTATTTTTGGACCAAGATTGAAGGTACCGATGGCACGGGATCAAATGTGCATATATTTCGTTTATTATTAATAGTCTGGAACACTATTACTCAATTGACTCTAAATTAGGAACTTTCTAACTGCAAGCAGAACTTCCCTAGCATAATATAGAGTAATTTTCGGCATAACCTAATTTTGTTGCTACTTATAGGACACGATTAATGGTTAATACAATAAGAAATACATTAAATAGACCATTCTTATTGCATTAATGCTTGCATCGTGATGCAATTTGCACTGTATTACTTCAATCACTGGCCCCACAGCTACATCTACACATGTAATGATTCCTTTAAAATCTATTACGGCTTCAAAAGTGGCATGCATTGACAGGACAGCTTGGCATCTTCTTCTCAAATATGCTGAGTTTTAAATGAACTGGAGTAACACTAAACAAAATATTGATGAATTGAAATTTTGAAGGAAAACATACACAAAACTGGCTTTTTCCCATAGGAATAAACAGAGCAATTCCCCCATAAAATTCCTCTTCCATGCAAACAGCATCAAAAAACTAATAAATGACAGTTGTACAAACTGAAATAGATAGGACGTATTTTCTGAGAGGGAAAATTATCTTTGACACCTCTGCAAAAATCTGGTAATAGGAACAAAAGTCATTTCCCCTGAACACGGGGGAAAGAGCAGCCAAGGGCCTGCACGCTTCAGGAGTTCACCCCACCACAAAATCTGCTCCAGAATCCAGACCAGATTCCTTCAGAGGGGGGGAAAAATATATAAAATTCAAACCCTACAAATTTGTAAGAGGCCAAGCGAAGTCCTGCGCCTGCAGTGCACATTTTCAGCCATTTCTGATCACAACTCAAATTCCTTTCCTGGAGGCTGTGGCATTGGCAGCCACCAGAAACCATCTTTCAACTTGACAGCAACTTACACCAAAAGACGCTAACGCTGGTTCACT